TCCCACACGCGGCTGCTGATCCCGCCAACCTTGTGCCTCTGCCATAATGGGACGTCAGCCCAGGAGATTTAGCATTCACCTGTCGTGGCACCTGCACTAGAAGCTGGAACACAGGTGGCAGAATGACTGACATCACACCACTACCTTGGAGAACATCAACCTCACCACCTTCATCCAGCCCCAGACCTGCTGTGATCCCTGCCTCCCACGCGGCTGCTGATCCCGCCAACCTTGTGCCTCTGCCATAATGGGACGTCAGCCCAGGAGATTTAGCATTCACCTGTCGTGGCACCTGCACTAGAAGCTGGAACACAGGTGGCAGAATGACTGACATCACCCACCACTACCACCAAAAATGAAGCCAAGAGACTTCCAATGACCGTGTCATTGTTATCTGTGACCAAGCACTGTGCGATGAGGTGCGCAAATAGGGACGTCCCAAAGTTGCTTGATTCTTTCCCATTAAATCTGTTTCCAGTCCTGGATGGAATCGTTCTCCAGTCTGAGGAACTTCCTCGTGACCCTCCTAATAAATTATCTGTCTCTAGCACAGCACAAATGTCTATAATTACTTTTGTTTCTGTGGATTAAGTGTGTTTCTGAACGACCAAATGTTGGCATTCTAAGAAAAACTGGGAACATGGGTAAATCTGAAAATGGTGGCAGTACAGAAGTATGTCTTATTTTTGTTGTTCTTGCTGTTTTAAGAAAACTAACCGGCCTGGCCTATAAGATGGTCCAGTCTACCAGCATACATGGAAGCAGGTTTGCCGTGACTTGTCCTCCCAAACCATGTGTTAAGATAGGTTGGGAACATGAGCTGGACACCAAACATAATCAATTGCATCAACTACTCCAGATGACCTGCCTCGCAATGAAAACAGTGACAATGTAACAATGTCACTCATTTGACTTTTATTAAGTATCTATTATATATCCCATATTTAGTTGTCCCTGTTCAAAATAACTAGCAAATAACTGTCTAGCAGGCAAGGCAGATACAACCACAGTAATTAAATTGTTCCTTTATAAGGTTTGTGATTATTTATTGAATGCCAGTTGCTCTTGTAATAAAAAGCACAGTACCAGTAGCATTAGTAAAGGGACCAAAAAGTTGAGAACATTTAAGATGATTGCCAAGGGTCTAAAGAAGTTAAAGACAAACTGTCAAAGATGTAGTCAAAAACCAATTAACATAGAGCTGTGGTGAAAGAAAATGGACAAAGGGTATCAGAGAGACTAGGCAGTGGGGTTACGACACCAACTGGCATGGGAGCAGAGAAGGAGGGAAGAGTTCAAGAGTTCTGCTCTAGATGTGTCAAGTTGGAGATGCCAGAGTCAAATCCAATTGCAGTTTGGACAGCTGTTCTACAGAGGAAGGAGTAGGATGTGGGCCACTGCAGATATATGTGAAAGAGGTTTTCTCAGTACTTGAGCAGGTCTGGGCTGCATGCATTCAGGATGAAGTTTAACAAGCATAACAGAGTGGCTGCTGGGGGATTAGAAAGTAACAGAGATACCAGTAGCAGATCTACTGGTAGACATGAAGCACCAGAGTGGGAAGGCTCTCTGAGTACCATAGGCATTCAACTGATGTTCCAGAGGGATGAACCAAAAGAAAAAAGATCATAAGCTAGAGTATGGAACACACTCAATCATGTTCACCTTTACAAAGTCTGAAACCAAGCCTGAGAGGATCAAAAGGATCTGCCCCTGATTTAACTACTTGTTAGAATAAACAGCACTCAAAACTCTACAAAAT